TTAACTCGTTCGACTTTACGAACATACCCAATGTTAACTTTACATTCCTAAGATAAAGTTTTTCTTTTCTTGTTTGATGCAGAAGAATTAGTTATACTTCGTTTGGATGACATAGTAGAGTCTCTCGAGTCTCCGTAGATATAACAAACACAGAAATAAATAACACAAAATAAATTGTAGCTATATGTCGATTCCGCGCGACACATCCGAACATGTAAGCTGAACAATAGTGTGACGGGAGTGAGTAATCAAGGGTTGCGTGGCGCTCAAACAAAAGACGAATCGACGAGATTTGAAAATCGCGTAACTCCGGGTTCGCGTAAGTCGGGGCAGTGTAAGTCGGGGTATTACTGTATTTCGTTCATTTCTGCCGAGCTTTTACTAATAATACAAATAAATGTTATATAATAGCTTATGGTTTAATTCTCTCCTTTTTATCAACTAGTCTTACAGCGTTCAAGTGTCTACATTTATTGCGTGCTTCTTAATTCACAATCTTTTTGCATTAATCTGATTCTAACTTTAAAAATCATAATTTCTTCTTTATATGTTTTTCCCTAAATAATTTTACATAATAAAAAAAAACTACTTCAATTCGCTAATAATTAATTGAACTGAAAATTTCACTTTTATAAAGTTAAACTAGGGAATTTATACATCTTTTGTGTTTATTTAAGTAGTAAATTATTCATACACAATTTATTTCTATAGAAAAAAAAACAGCTTTATTTCTAAAAATTCTGATAATTACAGTTTTAGAAACAATAATATTCTATTTAAGCGTTCAATCATTATGTCTAAACTCCAAATAATACTTAGAATAACACTAGATTTCTACACATCTGATACGAAATGTTTATGTAAAACATTTAAATATATATTAGTGTTAACTCTATAATATTTTTGTATTAAATATGGTATTTCATATAGAAAACAAATATTTAATGGTTTCACCACATACAATTTATTATTCAATTTTCTTTTCTACATATGCATTTCGGGCAGACGTAAATTCTGAACTTCTCTTCAGTGCCATATAATTTGTACGTGCTTTCATAGAAAAACAACCATATGTAAAAGTTCAATTCCGAGTATAAGAACATATGCAGTGTTTATAATTTTAAATACATCTTAGTACTACAGAGATTGAGGAGAAAATTGATTAATAAATTGTAGGGGGTTGCACCATTGGATATTTGTTTGCTGTATGAAATACTATACCTGAAATAAAAGGATTACAGAGTTAAAAGTAATAAGAACAGCTATCCTATAACTAAGGAAATTTAAATAATATATATTTTTTGACTTTTAAAAATATGAAGAGTAGATATATGGTATTTTGTAGGAATCGAAAACAGGAGATGGGTCGATATTAAAAGAACACCTTACATTAAATAATAATTATTTCACTGAAATGGATGTAGTCATCACACATTTACAGAACCGGAGACTTGCTATTATATCAAATATGTCTAAACTGAAAAAATTAAAACAACAGCTACGAGGAAAAGTTTTTATTTCTGACGATGCACTTCTAGTGTTTAGTGCAGCGTTTACGATGAATAAAGAATTTCCTTACAAAAGGGAACTAAACACAATGTAAGATTTGTTTTGTAATTTTAATATTTATTTTACAAATGATATTTTTAATCTGTAAATATTTTTCTATTTAATTTTTTCAAGAATATCGAACTGGATTTCAACTGGAGTTGTTGACAAAATTTATGGCTTTAAAAATGACACTGACGAGGAAATTCCAATTCAAGCAATACAACCCTTAAAATTAGAAGAACTCGGCGGTGCTTTCATTTTATTGCTTATTGGATATGCATTATCATTTTCTTCGTTAATTTCAGAATTGCTGATTGCAAAGTTAACAAGAAAGAAGTAATAACGAGAAGATATCTTGCTGAAAACAAATTTTTCCATTAGAAACTATTTCATCGTTCTTCACATGTAGCTAATGCACTTTCAATGAAGATCAGAAAGCATCATTTCATTTTAAACACTACTATATCTATCTTAAATGTAACTAAAATTCCGAAAATTAAATAAACTGCTGTTTGTTAACTATTATAAAAAATTTGTCCGGTTTATGTGGTCTCAGCACTTACCCGTCCCTGAGATAGTTTGCGGAGAAGTATCTTCTCTCTAATCTCAGAGGGTCTTCCAAGTGTCTCGTTACCAGTCTCGGTCCCTTCTCCCTTCTCTCTCGTTCGCTCCGCAATGTAAGGATTTTTGGACGGGAACTTCCGGCCAATTACTGTACAAATCTTCCTTGTGCGAACAGCTTTCACCAGTCCGTTTTGATGGGATAAGGGTGAAGCTTACTTTTGCGTCTGTCGAACATCCGACCCACTTGTTTAATGCCAGGAGTTTACCATCTGGAGAGTGGTCTACGGGCGACCAAACTCGAATCCAATTAGCGAGGTCGGTGCTTCTTTCGTTCCCTCTCCGTTTACAAGCTAATACTTTACACTCGTATACTCTTTATCGAACAGAAATTTACGTCATATACACTACAAAAGCCACATAAAGAGAATATTAAATATTAATTAATAAGATGAGGTAATCGTCTCTGTCTAATCGGCGTGATTAAATGATAAGAAAGCTTAACTGTAGCTAGAAAATTATTCACAAGAATTTATTTACCAGTAGTTATATATATATATATATATGGATGATAACTAATTTTTCGAAAGTCATAAACAAATAATAAATAATACCTGTAATCTTATGAATTTTTCCATAGAATAATACACTCGGTAAATGCATGCACATGTAAGAATATAATTATAAATTTGTAAATAATTATTTGAGAGTCAGTGCTATTATTTGTAAAAATTACTGTGGATGATGTCTTCCTCAATACTTCCAAGATGATAGACGCATAAGGAAATAACGCATATCGGCATTACCGATAAACGTCATTATTAAACAAAAATTCTGATGAGAGAAAGATTAGTTTGTTTTTCTTCCATATTGTTGCGTAGGTATTATTGTAAATTCGTACTACTCCAGCGCTATTTGTTAATTACAGAGAAAGGAATGTTGCACAATAAATATCTGACAGAAACGATTGCTGGCCTCTAATTCTTGTGCATTCCATCTCCTCTATTTAACGAGTCCTGAAATAGATTAAGGTTCTCGCGGTTAGTTTTAGAATTATTTTACAATAATTACAAGAAGTAATTTATATAATGTTATTTGTCAGTTTAAAATACAGTACAAACCTTGGAATTTTTACACAGAAATAGCAGAATAAAGTATGTAGATTTAAAGAAACCTCTGTGTAGTCGTTACAGTCAAAATATATTTTCTGTTTCTCCAGATGTACTCTACTGTATATTGCGAAAAATGCCTTTAAATTTTCTTTATTAATTCACATTATCCGTTGGCTTCGACGAAATTTTTTCTTTCGTTTTAAGTATATTTTCTGTTTTTTACGTTATTTTATATTCAAAATTATATTATAATTTATTTTTACTCTTTCTACACTTACTGTAATTTTTGTTACATTAATTTAGCAGCTAAATAACTTGAATATTATTTTTCCGTTAAGTGTATATAATTTCAAAATATTTCGAAAAGAAAGTACCTTTTACATATCTTTTTATATAGCAAATTACATAAATTGGGACATTGTCACAAGTGTAGACAATCGGCTAAAATTTTTTTCTTATATAATTTCCAACGTATAATTACAAACTGGAATAAAAAATAATGAATGCTAAGTGTTAAAGGTAGCATATTTGCCGATAAATTGGCATATTAAAGTAATGTCTATAAAATATTTATGTATAAAGTTTATGTAATTTTAGAAAATAATTTTGAATATAATAGAGAATTAATTTAGATAACTCTATGTGTAAGCGGAGAGTGTATTTTCTAATGTATAATGGTAGTTATTGAACACTTGATAAACTTGTTTTAAGTTCGAAAAGACTGTAAGAATGATATACAGATCCAGACACTAACAAAAACAATCGTAACACAATACTCTGTCTTAATTGAGCTGATAATGATGTAGACAACGTAAATTTTAAAAAATCAGTGATAGGTGAACTAACGATAAACGCCAATATGCTAACTCACAATACAGTTCTATCCAAAATCCATTTACACTTGGTTTTATATTACGAAATTATTCACTAAGCGACACGGAAAATGTTATAAACATTTAACATATAACTATTATCATTTGACTTTTGTTGTGCTCGGTAAACAATTCTTCGCGCTTAGCAATCTGAAATTTTCCGCTCTTCAACATATGTTTTTATTACTGTGTATTTCTTTTAGTTTTCATGCGTTAGTTTAAAAAACAATGTATTGTCCTGTGTGTTACTGTGAATAATTTCACAAAATAAGAACTCTATAGTCCTGAATAAATTTTTAATGCAACTGTATTGCGTGTAAGTTAATTGCCGTTTTTTTTTCTGTAGTTTATCTATTGCGGTGATTTTTGTGACGTCACGTCATCTACAACAATATCAGGTCAGAATATAAACAACGAGTAATTCTTTATTGTGACATGGTTACAATGCCGGGTTGTCATTTTAATTATATTTGTAATTTATTTAATTTATTAAAATATATGCTCTCTACCTCAAATTAGTATGTACTGTCTTGCCTCGTACATCATACTTTTCCTTTAACAATAGAGCGTACCGAACCTCTATTAACTGCTTTCAGGAAAAACGGTTTGAACTAAAATAACGTGACTTCTGGTTTGCATCGGACGTTCGTATGTAGTTAATCAGAGCCTACTGCTCCTAAGGTTTTTACATCTGCTCTCCGAATTCATCTATGTAACTCCCTTCTAGAAATTAATTCAGGAAAGGCAACAGACAACCGGACGGACGGACAGTGAAATTTTATAGGTTTACATTTTATTTTTCAAATTGCATCCTGATAACGCGCTCCTGCTCATAATAGTTAGATGCAATTAAACGGAATATAGATAATCTGTAGTGGGCAATTCGTTAATTTAGACGTTATGCACTTCCAACCTTCGTTCGAGGAGCAAATCAAATATCAATAGATAGCCTAGCGGGAGGCTATCTGTTTGATAGTCAGTTTCATACTTTTAATCAGAAAGTAGTAGAGCATCTTATAATTAGTTCGAAAGGTTCCTGTTCGGTTAAAATGCCTAAATGGGAATCGTCTGGACACTGTCAAAAACGAGTGATGAAATCGAATAAAACGTCTGTGCCTAACAATACGCGCTAAAAAACAAAACACTATCTTTTCCCGTTACTTTGATAGGCAACTTCCAAAAGCGTGCTGATCTAGCAAGCCATTTTGCAAGACAGTCGGTCCTCCCTAGTACTGGTATGATATGAAAGACAACACTGTCGTACGCATTCCTGCCATGGAAGACAACACAAAAGGGTGTTGCCTTTTACGGCTGAGCTGCAAACAGCCATTTTCCAGAAAAAATTGCTAAACCGCAAACAAGATTTTACAAGAATTTAAATGTATTTTTTTAGTCTGCCATTTCCATATTTGTTATCCCTCGTACATTTCTGGGACCAAATGCAATGCTGTCTTCGGCCATCTGTGAACGGGAAAGATCTTGAGCGGCGGTTGCAATATTCACGGGCGAATCTGACGCAGGATTTTATAAGGTGTGTAAAGGTTTGTATCTTCACTCCAGGTAAGTGGTAATCCTCTTAGAACTATAGGTTGATATAAACTGTACTGGTGTGTACGAGAACTTGTAACATTGCTATAATATGTCACTTATTACCATCATCATTTCGTTCGAACTAATGAAGTTTCATTCGATTCCAATACCTTCTTGGTGCGTAATAGTTTGTGTGAATGGAGTGTATTTCCAAAACTGATATTTTGTTAATTTCGGTGAAATTATCCATTATTTTGGGAAGTGTTGTTAAATATTTGATTTTATTTAAAAGTCGAAAATTTTGAGTTTTTGTGTAATAATTTATTATGGATGATTTACCCCACGGCAATACGATCATGTTGCTTTTTAATTTTCTACTTTACATAGTTACCGAAGATATATTTTTCGTATGTCGAATTGTAATATTTACAATTGCTTAATGTAACAGATATATAAAGTTGTATTATTTGTAATATGATAATGTGATTTCTTTGTGTGCAAATGTGTGTCTTTCCGCATCATAAATCAGATAATATTACGATATTAAATGAATAAATAAATATTAATTTTAAAATTATTTCCACCCTTTAACGAGTATTAACTCGTCCACGCGTATTTATTTTTTATTTTATGGATTATTTATTTACACATCCGATGCTACGAACAGGAAAGGAAACTCATTAAAATACACACGAAAATGTATAAATAGCGCATAAAAACGTATATACAAATAAAACACTAATATCAAAAACAAAATTACGAAATAATTAAGAAAATAGGTAATGAATTAACAAGTTTTTATATGGATTACGAAATGAATGCATTTTTTGGATTTGTTAATGCCATATTGCTATAAATATTAATATCCACTTGTCCGAATACTTCTATATTCCGAGAGATCGTAGAAATTAAACAATTATTTTAAGAGACAATAACTCAAAGTTATCTAAATGGTGGACATTTAAGATGTGTTATTTTTAAGGTGTAATTAAATAAATATTACATACTGTAAAAATATTTAAAAAATAAAACAATCGAAAACTTAAAAATGAGAAATACTGTATATTAGTTTTTAAATAACTTAGTAAGTTAGCCCATCCTGTATTATATAATGATGGTCTATTATAATAATGATGATTAAGGTATACTGTACTTCACATAAGATCTTGAAATTTATAATTTTTATAATATCACAATCGAAATATTATAATATAGAGTACGATATTTTAATATACAACAAACATAAATTTGGAGTGATCGTATAA